TAAGATGGTCAAAATAATTTGCGGCCACTGGTCGGCCAAACCGTACCCTCTGAAACAAGCGGACTGCTCGAAGCATGAAAAATGAGGAACAGCCAAAGTCCGAAAATTTGAACCCAGAGCAGGGTTAGCTTGATCACTTATAATGGAAAAGATAACAGAGCTTTTCATGTGACACAAACTTTATGACATGTTGAAAGAGTATGCGGAGAGGAATATGTAGGAAATAGTCTGTCTATGTTTCATCCGTTAGCTGTAGACACAGACAGTATAAAGTGCGGTTAACGTGGGAATCATCAGCACAACCCCCTAACCACCATGTAAAAACATCAGGTAGCAAGGTATTCTAGAAGACAACGGATATAATACGAGAGAAGGGATATGACTGATCTACCGTTCCATTTTCATCAGCAGTTTTCTAATTTTTAAGCTGTGCATGTTACTGTAAAAAAGCCACAGTGCCAGATGTTGTTTCAAAAGCATTTTATGTCCGTAATAATTAGTTATCAGAAAAAAAAGTTATTTATATATTAATTCAACAAACAAAATGCTTCATAAATCACACAGTATCGATATAAACTGGAAACAAACGCTTTTCAGGATGTAAAGACCTGACATAGCTGCGCTTCGAGTGTGTGAAGCACTTCAGAAACATCGGAGAATCATATCGAATCTCGACGATCTTGATGGTATCAGAAAACGTATTACGGAAAACGGAAGCAACAAAAATCAACAGGCAAACTCTGAACTAAAATATGTTCTTTATCCTATGCAAGAAGAATTGAACGGGCGCATTATGATGAGCTTTTTAGAGCAAGAAAATTTGTATCACCACTGAACAATATGCAATTTCGTGCAATTTTTTGGAGTACTTTTTAATTTTGTCGATTTCTCGGTATCTCAGCTAGAGCACTTCTGACGCGTAAAAGCAATTGACAGTTAAAAAATAACTGCAAAAACTTGTTTTTTGAAGTGAGCGATTAGTTATTCAGCTGGTACAATAATCTCGCTGTTGAAACTGCTAAAGCTGCATCGGCTCGGCCGATTCAGGATGCTGAAAATTTCTGATATTAATTGTGCTTGTAATATGCGATAAAAATAATCATCAAGCCAAAAATAACAGAAAAAACTGATATTTACAGAGCAAAATACGTAATACTACGAATATCCATAGCAAAGGCGTTCCTCTAGAGACCAAAGTGGACAAAGGCTGCCAGAATAATATGAAATTTGAGGGCCCACAGAATACCACTGCTAAGTCTTCGCGTACAAGTTAATCCATGGTCGCATTATTGTGATTTTTTGGGACTTTATCCTTTTGGTACTAAAACCAGTGACTTGAAAGTTCGTCCAAAGTTAGTAACAGACAAATAGCTCATGTGTTTTTCCAGTATTCGGGCTGAATTTGAAATATTTGAGTTGTACTCGGACAGGGAATATTCTCCCAAAATTTCAGCCTTCCAGCTTTTCTGGATGCCGACTTAGCAATTTTCCCCCTAAAACTTTCAAACGCCCTTGCGTGAGTGCCCATTTTAAAGATGTGAAACGATTCCCTGGGATGCTAATCTTGCTCATTTTCTGAGCATAGGCGAATTCAGGCGAGTTTTTCGCCCCTTTTCCCGGCTGCACAGGCACCAGTGCTGCAAAAGCCGGGATCTAAAGCTAAAACTGAAGTAAACTAAAGCCTAAAGTAACTCTAAACTAAAGAACTCTAAGTAGCAGTGTTACAACTCTATTCCTAGTTTTTGCATAGTTCCAGGGTGAGAGGGGGTCTTCCCTTACACCATATCGCTTCTCCCCTCTCCTCCCAGATGTACGTCCTGGAGCCATCTATGTTTGTGAACAAAGTTAGCATCCCTAAACAATTGTTTCACAATATTACTATTAATCACAGTCTCGCTCTAAGCCCCCCCCCCCCTTCCCACTTTCCCTTCTCAAGAGCATTGTAAATCAGTGCATTAATTTTTCTGTTTTTTTTTTTTTTTTTTCAAAGACTAAATTGAAAAGTATAAATATCCTGTCTGGTAACATTGTATCGTAGTTAGTGGAGATGGACGTAAAATTACTGCATGAAAAAGCACAAACCAGGAGTAACAATAGTATCCTTTTTTAGACTCAGAGAAGGCTCACGTGCTTTCAAAATTTTTAAGAAAAAAAAACGTTTCAGCAAAATAGAAAGGCACAAAATTTACGTTATGCTCCTTTGCGAATTTTTACAAATAAGTAAGTGGACTTACTTCAGCAGTGCCATGCTGACCAGTCCGAGGCACATTTGCAATTCGATCTAAATACGGTTGTACATCATCATCGTCCATCACTTTGAATGGCATACCTTTACCCACAACAGCAATTGTTGTATTCTGTAATATATCAGGCTGTTAAGAAATCAATTGTACTTCG